AACTGCAACATGTCCCATTTTTTTTCTATTCTGCTTGCCTACCCAGTTGGGAAAGAGAAGGGGTCCAGAACAGGTCTCTTTGTAAAGCTAGTGTCACACAAAAGTCTTTCTCATTAATTTTTTTCTGTGGCCAGCACAACTTCCCAAGCAGAAGTAAGCAATGAATTTATCTCCTCTTGTGAACCTTCGCTGTACTGCAGTTGACAGTAATTGAGCTTCGTACAGGCAGAGAGAAAAGTGGGAAACCTAAGCTCTTCTTCAGTGGTACTGCTTGGTTTTATTTTTGATGGGAACTTGGACTACCAGAAAAAAGCATCACTGAAGGGAAAATGAAGCAATATTTGTAACTGGCACAGATTAGGAGTTTTCCATAAACCATGTGTCATAGATTCTTGGCTGTTGTAAAATATGTAACTGAAAACAGCTGGAGTAAGGCACTTGTTTTCAAAAATCAAAATAAAGACTGTTCATTTAGAAAGGGGTTTAACAGACACCTACATAATCTTTGTTCTGTACTTTTAATTAAAAAATGATGTATTTCTTTTGTTTGTTTCATTGCTATGAAATAAATAGACCTTGATGTCACCTTAGACTGAACACGAACATTTAGGAAACACTGTGCTAACTGTGGAAACTTATTAATAGTGCATGGATTGCAGACCCAAAATTAATAAGAATATCAGCCCTGGCCTTGCCTTACTCAACTGCAGAGTTTGTCTGCCCCATATGGCATAAATCTGCCCACGCAAAGCAGGTGAATATAGCACTGAATGAGACATGTAGAATAATCACAGGATGTCTCAAACCTACACCTGTTGATAGACTCTATAAGCTAGCTGGTATTGCAAGAGAAATAAGGTTGAACATTGTGAAAACCACCCACTGTTTGCCTACCAGTCTCTTACCAGTACACTTAAATCAAGGAAACGTTTCATGAGAACCACCACTCCTCTAAATGTTCCTCCAGCAACAGCAAGAATGGGAAGCAAAATCAGGCAATTCTAACTGGATAGCCCCCCACGAGGGTCTTCCTTCAGGGACAAACCAAGAACGGGCAACATGGAAGTCCCTGAACAGATTTAGAAATCAAATTGGCGGATCAAAAGACAACCTAGCAAAATGGTACTACCTAGAACAATGGTTCCCGACCTTTTTTCGGCCAGGGACCACTTTGACTAGGGACCACTTGACCAGGGACCATTTTGACCAGGGATCACTCTCCAACATTAGTATCAAAAGGGTTACAAATCAGTTTTTGGTTAACTTTAGATCTGGTTTGGTTATTTGGGGTGCTGATTCAGAAAATCGCATTGGATAGACCACATCAGCTCTTGTTTCTGATACAGAAGACATGTCATCCAGTAGTTGCCATCTCCTCGCCCACAGAAAACAATATTTAATAATCTAGAGCCACAGACCTTATTTTAGGTCTCGCAGCCCACAAGTTGGGAACTACTGACCTACTGACCTAGAAGAATCCACCACCTTGTGTGTCTGTGGAGCAGAACAAACAACTCAGCATCTGTATGCTTGCCCACAATGCCCTGCCTCATGCACAGAGGAAGAACTCTTGAAAGCTATAGACAATGAAGGTGCTGCTGCCCATTTTTGTCTAAAACTATTTAGCTGCTTGTGATCCCTTTTTCAGTTTTAAACTTATTTATTTATGCAATGCTTTTGACATGAAATAAAATAATTCCTATGAAATTTCTTTTGGAGTATGAGGTAGCTCTCAGAGGGGTCCCATGCAATTCAGAGCAATCGAAGGAGAAGCAGCCGCAAAACCAAATGTCATTTCAGTACTTCCACAGCATCAGATCCACCAGCCACCCCAGGGAGAGGTGAAGAAGAATGAATGGGGTTCAAGGGGTTTGAAGACACAGTCACATGGCTTGACATTATTTTCCAGCTAATCCATGGCCTCTCTCCCTGACCTTCCTTGCAGTGCTGTCATAGTGTACAGTGTTTCTTTGAACGAAGAGCAACGTTTAGACTTAATGTATGACACCTGTACTTTCCCCTTTTTGATTTCTAATAAAGAAAATGACTCCATGTGACTTCACCTTTGGGAGGCCTATTCTCTCATCTCTATGATGCAGAAGGTTGGATTTCAGAATTCCTTGGTGGTTGTATTGACCTTTCAAATGTTTCATCTCCTCTTCCCTTTGTGTTTTTATGAAATGCGATAAAAAATCCAACATTGTAACACAATTTCAATAACATTATTTGTGTCAGTGGAGTGACCTGATCCAATTTTAGTTTCTATATTGGACTAGTAAAGGTGTTGGACCAGTAAAGGTGTTCCAACATTTTTCAGCATTCATTTGTTGTAGATCAACAAGAAGCTGATGGTTTAACTGATAGTTTAGAGAGAATTGTGAGCTTTCCTGTGGCACAAAGTGATGGGCTCTCAAAATGATGTCTGGGAAATGATGGTTCTCTTTGTGAGAAAACTGGCTCGGGAAGTGCAAGGCCTCAAGGGCATTCAGAGGAATCAGAAGTAGCAACAGCAGATAAGGAATCAAGTGAAGAGCTGAGTGATAAGGAGGGCTCCCATGAGCTACGGAGATCAACAAAAGTCTTTGTTTAGAAATCAGAGCCGAAAGTAGATTGTGTAGTTCAGAGAAATTATGTAGGAAACTTGGGAAGGAAATTCACAGGAAACAGAATGATTTCATGGGTGTTCATTAGACAACAAGTTGTTTACCTTAAGGTCAGTTCAGGCAATGCTGTGTTAGAATGAGAAGCTAAGCCTGAGTTCTCTTGTTCCTGGTTCAAGTCAAGCTTTGATTTTAAATTTTAATATCCTGGAAATTTTCTGTGTTCCTGTTCATGTTTTACTGATTATACCTTCTTGCTTGTGTACTTATCCTGTACCTGTGATTTCTGGCTGTTCCTGGACTTTACCAGAACTTTATGAGACATTTGGAATATTGTCTGGTTATCACCTCTTGCTAACCTTTTTGGGTTATATATCTTCCTTTCTCATTCCTGATTTTTATATGCTTTTAGTATTTATTTATTTATTTACAATAAACTGTTTGTTTATATTCCTGGACTCTTGTGCAGTGCAGTGATCATAGGGTTTCCAGGCTTGGAGTGCAACATCCTTAAAATGCTTTGCTAGAGTTACTGATACTGAAATGAAGTGTGGCAGTGGTTGAGATTAAACACTTAAGACTAAAGATTGCATACCTATCCATTGAAGTCATGTGAGAGTTGTCTCTGAGCATATATACAATCATACAAGTTGGAAGGAACCCCAAGAGTCAGCCAGTACCATTCCCTGCCAATGCAGGAACCTATTGTTAGAGTACACCAAGTGACAGAGATGCAACCTCTGTTTAAAACCCTCAAATGAAGACGAGGGCATCACTTTCCAAGGGAGTTTATTTCAATACACAATAACTCCCATTATCAGGAAGTTCTCTCTAATGTTTAGTCAAAAAATCTAAATTTTGTGGTGCTTTTTCCTGCATGGCTGTGGGTTGGGCTGGGTGGCCCTGTGGGGTGTCTTCCAAATCTGTGAAGAATCTGAGGCTGGGTGGCTGGCTATCTCTCTGAGGTGCTTAGATGGTGCTTTTATCCTGCATGACTGTGGGTTGAGCTGGTTGCCTTCCCAAAATAAGGAAAACTCTTAGCAATATGTCCTCAAATGCACTTTAATATTGATTTAGGATTGTCTGCGTGCCCTCATCTTTCTTTGAAAACCCTATCCTAGTTTACCCTACCTTGTTCATGCCCAGCATTATTTTTAAATTTTAATTATTACATTTGGCCCTGCCATAGGTTTTTAAATGCTTGTATGTTATTGTTATTGTTTATTGTTTATTTCTTGTTTATGAGATTTATTTTAACTGTTTTGTATTGATTATTTGTTATTGCCTTCATTTATTGATGTACGGCGGGCTTGGCCTCATCTAAGCCGCATCGAGTCCCTTGGGGAGATTGTAGCGGGGTACAAATAAAGTATTATTATTATTATTATTATTATTATTATTATTATTATTATTATTATGGCCCTTTGGGGTGTCTTTCAAGTCTGTGAAGAATCAGAGGCTGGGTGGCTGGGTATCCGTCTGGAGTGCTTAGGTAAAGGTAAAGGCAATCCCCTGACATTAAGTCCAGTCATGTCTGACTCTGGGGTGTGGTGCTCATCTCCATTTCTAAGCCGAAGAGCCAGCGTTGTCCATAGACACCTCCAAGGTCATGTGGCTGGCATGACTGTATGGAGTGCCGTTACCTTCCCACCGGAGCGGTACCTATTGATCTACTCACATTTGCATGTTTTTGAACTGCTAGGTTGGCAGAAGCTAGGGCTGACAGCGGAAGCTCACGCCGCTCCCCGGAATCAAACCTGCGACCTTTTGATCAACTAGCTCAGTAGTTCAGTGCTTTAACCCACTGCGGCACCAGGATGTTTAGATGGTGCTTTTTCCTGCATGGCTGTGGGTTGGGCTGGTTGGCCTTGTGGGGTGTCTTCTAAGTTGGTGAAGAATCAGAAGCTGGGTGGCTGGCTATCTCTTTGGGGTGCTTAGATAGTGCTTTTTCCTGCATGGCTGTGGGTTGGGCTGGATGGCCCTGTGGGGTGTCTTCCAAGTCGGTGAAGAATCAGAGGCTGGGTGGCTGACTATCTGTCTGGTTTGCTTAGATGGTGCTTTTTCCTGCATGGCTGTGGGTAAGCTGGATGGCCCTGTGGGTTGTCTTCCAAGTCGGTGAAGAATCAGAGGCTGGGTGGCTGGCTATCTCTCTGGGGTGCTTTTTCCTGCACGACTGTGGGTTGGGCTGGGTGGCCCTGTGGGGTGTCTTCCAAGTTGGTGAAAAATTAGAGGCTGGGTAGCTGGTTATCTATCTGGGGTGCTTAGATGGTGCTTTCTTCCTGCATGGCTATGGGTTGAGCTGGATGTTCCTGTGGGGTGTCTTCCAAGTGGGTGAACTCCACCGGGCATCGCCTCGTGGCCGAGGAGCGGGGCTGGTGGGGCTGCGCGCGGCGCTGTCAGTCAGGGCTGAGCCCCAGCCCCGGGTGATGTCAGTGGATCAGCTGCTGCCTCGGTTATAACAAAGCGCCGAAGGAAGCGAGGAGAGCAGAGCAGAGGAGAGAGGCAAGCAGGCAAGCGTGCGCGCGCGTGGGTCCATCCCTCCTGGCTGAGGAGGCGCCGAGCAAGCTTTGGCCTCCAGAGCTCGCCAGCCATGGACAGTGACGAGGAGACGCTGGAAGAGACCGTCGAGGGTACGCACTCACTCACTGGGCCTTCAGGAAGAAGAAGAAGCAGCAGCAGCAGGAGGAAGAGGAAAAGGGATGGGGTTGGGGTTGGCGCGCGGTGGAGGCATTTTCGGGGCTTCTCAGAGAGGAGCTCCTCCCCCGGGAGTTTGCTGTGGTGGGGAAAAACATGGTGCCTGGCTCCCTCTCCGCCTTTTCCCCTCCAAAACACAGCTTTTGGCTTAGGAAGGAAGGGAAGGGAAGGCAAAGAAGACGCCTCGCGCGCGCTGGGTGTTGTTGCCTTGAAGGAGGAGGAAGAGGAGAAGCCTCCGAAGGCACCCTCCTCCATCCGCCGTTCCCCAAATAAGGCCAAACAGGCATCGCTGCCCCCAGCCTCCAGGGAGGGCCAAGTTGCCTCATGGCTCTGGAGACAGGCAGGGCTGGAAAGGTCCCCGGGCAAAAGTCTGCAGAGAGGCAGAACTGGTCTCCCACTTCCGACTTTTAGTCAGATCCAGGAGACTATAATCACCCCATCACACTAGAGCAGGCATGGGCAAACTTCGGCCCTTCAGGTGTTTTGGACTACACCACAATTCCTAACAGCCGGTAGGCTGTTAGGAATTGTGGGAGTTGTAGTCCAAAACACCTGGAGGGCCGAAGTTTGCCCATGCCTGAACTAGAGAATGAATCCACATTAAATCCTATTGCTGCCTCTAGCAAAATTCTGGGGTTTGTAGTTTAGGGAGGAGGCTTTAACAGCCTCATTCAACTACAAATCCCAGAATTCTGCAGAAAGTGGATTTAGAGTGGATTCATTCTCTAGTGTGATTTTTTTTGTTTGTTTGTTTGTGTCAGGAGCGACTTGAGAAACTGCAAGTCGCTTCTGGGGTGAGAGAATTGGCTGTCTGCAAGGATGTTGCGCAGAGGACACCTGATATTTTGATGTTTTACCATCCTTGTGGGAGGCTTCTTTCATGTTTCCGTGTGTGAGCAGGAGCTGACAGAAGGAGCTCATCCACACTCTCCCCAGATTCCGACCTATTGGGCTTCAGTCCTGTCAGCATAAGGGTTTAACCTGCTACGGCACCAGTGTGATGAAGTACTAAGAAACTAAAAAGGGTTTGGGCATGAGTGGGGACGTGCTGAAGCTATTGATTGAGTTCTAGGTATAAGGAGCATCTGGCTCCATCATTGGTATAGAGCAGACATAGGCAAACTTTGGTCCTCCAGGTGTTTTGGACTTTAACTCTCACAATTCCTAACAAGCTGTTAGGAATTGTGGGAGTTGAAGTCCAAAACAAAGTGCCTCTGGTGTTGCTGCAAGAAGGTCCTCTACTGTGCATGTGGCAGAGCTCAGGTTGCATTGTAGTGGTCTGTGGTTTGCTCTTCTCACATTCACATGTCATGGTCTCCACTTTGTAGCCCCATTTTTTAAGGTTAGCTCTGCATCTATTGAGCGCCTTCCAGGCCATCCACTCTTCTGTGTGCCATGGGGGGAGTTTCTCATCCTGTCTCAGCCACTCTTAGCCTGCCACTTTTGGACTCTCACTTGCTGAGGTGGTCCTACTGGCAACTCTGTAGGTCTTGGGAAGCTGTTTCTTGATTTAAGGCATTGGCATGCTGCCTGATATCCAAACAGAGGATGGGCCAAAGATGTCAATGCCTTGGTCCTTTCATCGTTGGTTGCTAGTTCCCGGCAGATGTCAAGTGGTGCAATACCAGCTAAACAGTGTAATTTCTCCAGTGGTGTGGGGCATAGACATCCTGTGATAATGTGGTATGTCTCATTACGAGCCATTAAGTTTGCCCACGCCTGCTATATCATTTCTTTGGAGGAACAATTCAGAGTGTTGATTGTGGAGTACCAAATCTCCAGGAACAGTTAAGGGAGCTTGTTAATGGCACTTTAACTACCCGTTGGGTTGCTCTCCCTACATTTCTTTTAAACTCTCCTACTAGATACATCCTACCTGTGTTCATGCCCAGCATTTATTTTTAAAATTTTAACTATTACATCTGGCCCGGCCATAGGTTTTTAAATCGCTGCATGTTATTGTCTATATGTGAGTTATATTAATTGTATTGTTTTATTTGCTTATTGCTTTGTTGTTTTTACTGATGTGTTGTTGGGCTCGGCCTCATATAAGCCTCTCCGAGTCCCCTTGGGAGATGGTGGCGGGGTATAAATAAAGGTATTATTATTATTACTATTATTATTATGTTTAGCTTGGAGAGGAGATGTTGAAATGGGACCTGATGGCTAGCCGTGTTTAAATATTTGGAAGAATGTCACATGGAAAAGAAGGCAGGCTTCTTTTCTGCTTATCTGGAGACTGTAGCTAAAGCAGTTGATTCAAATTGGAGAAAAGAGATTTCATCAAAACATTAGGAAGAACTTCCTGATGGTGAGAGTGTGGTGGAGCCTCCTTCTCTGGAGGTTTTGAAGTAAAGTCTGGATGGACATCTGTCGAGAGTGCTTTGATGGCGTGTTCCTGCATGGCAAAATAGGGTTAGACTGGATGTCCTTTGTGGTCTCGTCCAACTTTATGATTTTATTCCATTCTATGCAGTATGATTTTCAATGCTTGCTGGCTCTCTCTTTCTCTGCCGGTTCTCCTCTGAAGACCAGAATAATCGCATTGTGAAAAATGTCTTCAGCAACCTGCGAGGCTTTAATGAAATGTAGAGGTTTCATTTTGTTATCATTGCTTGATTTATAGATCTGGGGCGTTATGAAAGAGGGAAAGGCATGACTAAAGCAGCCACCTGGTTTCTTAATTTCCTGCCTTTTTTTCTTTGATGGTGTTATTCCAGAGACATCTGCATATTTTATATGAGAAATATTAAAATATGTCACAATGTGAAACTATTGGAAGAGGGAGAACTGGAAACATGTCTGAACTGGAAGCATGATGGTGGAAATAATGCCATGCTTGGATTTTAATCCTGAAGGATCCGTAATTTTAGTGGGGTGTGGCAAATGGTTGAAACATATAATATACTGGTATGGCTTGTTTCGTTTGTGGGGTGGGTGGACGGATGAGTTTGTTATGTTGCATATTTAACACTGTCAATAGCAGAATCTTCTCTCTTTGGTTTAGTATTGAGTACACTTTTCTTATAAGGTGACTGCATTGAAAATCTGCTTTGTATTCCATTGTGTCTTTCATGCCGTATTAAATCTTCTGTCTGTGTTAACATGGTTCACTTGACAAAGCTCAACTGCATTATGAAGCATGCTAGATTTTATTTAGCCTGGAAATCATCAACAAGGTGTTCATATTAAGTTTTTGTCACATTGCACAATTGTAGCACACAATGACTGTATCCTACTGAATCTTTAGATGTGTAGTTTGGGCTTTCTGTCTGGCTGCAAGTTCGAAATTCCTCATGAAACTACCAAACCCATGATTCCAAAGTGCAAACAAAATGTGATAATTTTGTCCAATGAGGCCATAAAAACAGGTGTGTTGCAATAAGGGCGGCCATCTGGTTTATGTCATACATCTGCGAGAAGAAAGAAAAGGCTTGGAGAAAGGTGTAAGCATTTTTAACTAAACGTTTGACTGTGTTGCCTATAAATGGCACAGGACTCCACAATATGTATTAGTTTAGGAATATTTTAGACAGTTCTTTCCAAGGCTTTCTAAATAAGTTATGCCAATGAAAAAGCAAATATTGTATCATGTCCTTTAATGGTAATATGGGTGCCACTATTCTGATAAACATTAAAGCAATGAGGAAGGGCCCTTCCACACAGCCCTATATTCCAGAATATCAAAGCAGAAAATCCCACAATATCTGCTTTGAACTGAGTTATCTGAGGGCCCTTCTACACAGCCCTATATCCCAGAATATCAAGACAGAAAATCCCACAAAATAACCAGAGTGTGGATTCAGATAACCCAGTTCAAAGCAGATATTGTGGGATTTCCTGCCTTGATATTCTGGAATATAGGGCTGTGTGGAATGGCCCTGAGTTCACACTCAGATAATGTGGGATTTTCCACTTTGATATTCTGGAATATAGGGCTGTGTGGAAGGGCACGAAGTTTTAGTAATTTGAAACTGAAACGTTTTAAGTGAGGACTTCAGGGTAGAATTGTTTTGGTCACTAATCTGTAAACTTTGTTTGGTTTCCCTGCCTCTAACCATGTCAGGTCAGTGTATTCTGCCCTGTTCAGCATTGACTCTCTCCCCTGCCACAATTGTCTTGTCCTGCAGCACTTCATTCTTGAAATTTCACTGTACAAGTATGTGTACAGTATGTGCTTTGTGTGTGTACTTTTTGTTAACGTTGTAATTGTATCTACCTATGGTGCTGGTATAATATTTTAGCAAGCTTTCATTTTAGTTTTAAACTTACACCTTAACTGAAATGTTCCATGTGAGGTTCTGGTTGTACCCCTGCTGACACTAAATGTGAAAGGTGTCCCTTATCACCACTTCTGCCACCATTGTGCATGTGGCAGGGCTCAGACTGCATTGTAGTAAGTGGTCTGTGGTTTGCTCTTCTCCACACTTGCATGCTGTGGACTCCACTTTATGGCCCCATTTCTTAAGATTGGTTCTGCATGTCATGGTGCTAGAGCAGTCTGTTCAGCACTTTCCAAGTTGCCCAGTCTTCTGTATACCTAGGGTGGAGATTCTCATCTGATATCAACCACTGATTCAGGTTACAGGTTTTAGCCTGCCACTTTTTGACTCTCAGGTGCTGAGGTGTTCCTGCAAGTATCTCTGCAGATCTTAGAAAGCTATTTCTTGATTGAATGCATTGGTCTGATGACTGATATCCAAACAGGAGATGGGTCGGAGATGTCACTGTCTTGGTTCTTTCATTACTTGCTGCTACTTTCCAATAGATGTCAGGTGGTGCAATACTGGCTAAATAGTATAATTTCTCCAGCGGTGTAGGGCATAGACATCCTGTGACAATGTGGCATATCTAATTAAGAGCCACATCCACTCCTTTAATGTGATGAATGTGTTCCACACTGGGTATGTGTATTCAGCAGCTGAGTAGCAAAGTACAAGGGCAGATGTTTTCACTGTGTCTGGTTGTGATCCCCAGGTTGTGCCAGTCAGCTTTTGTATGATATTATTTATAGCACCCACTTTTTGCTTGATAGTGAAGTAGTGCTTCGTGTATGTCAGAGCATGGTCCCGGGTAACTCCCAGGTATTTTGGTATTTTGTTGATATTTCTACTAGACACAATTCCTATTTATTACCTGAATCAGGCTTTTTAACATAGCATTCCTCAAAGCTCAATATTGTATGATATAAAATTGTACTTTTTAAAACATAATATGGATATAACACAACAAAATATTTAATGCTGTATATTTCAAACACATATCTCACAATCTCTCACTCTCATTTCCTAGCTAACTCTTACCACCTCAAATTTCCCTTAACTTACTAACCAAACAAAACAGACTATAGTGGGCTTTAGTTATCTGCAAGGGTTTGGTTCCAGAACTCCTAATGGAGAACAAACATCAGTGGATGCTAAAGCCCAATTATATATAATGGCATATCAAAAAGTGTCCTTTCTATAAAATGGTGAAATCAAGGTTTCCTTTTTGGATTCTTTTTATGAAATATTTTCAAGCCATGGATGGTGGAATCCAGTGAATCAGAATTAATGGATGTGGAGGGCTGACTGCACTCTCTCCATTCCTTCAGTCTCATGCCATATCACACCCAACTAAAAAATAAACAAATAAATGATGAGCAGACAAGTCTTATTGAGGCTTTATGTGAGGCAAATGTCACCTTCTGTTAAACAATGCTGACTGGCTATAAAGTTGCAAGTGAGCTTTGCCTGAAGACTGACAGTTACCACATTTATGCTTCCTTGAATAGCTTGTGTCACCCTCATGCTTTCGGATCAGCCAAGTACTAGTGTTCTCTGTTCCCTGAATTTGTAAAAGAGCCATTACTCTTGGTCTGAATCACAAACACTGAGGGCAGATATTTGGCGTGACTTAAGAAAGCATACTTCCCAATATTTCCTTAGGAAAACAAATAGGAATTACTATTATTAAAATAATTTTTCCAAGTGAATTTTGGGAGGATATAAGATCTGTGTACATGATCAAAATTTCTTGAAGCTCGAAATGTCAAGTGAGTTCAGATCTGAATTTCTGGGTTTTATATGACATCATGGGATGCAGGGAAGGAAATCTAGAAAACAATAGCACTTACAGTTTTTCACCAGGCAAAAAATTGGGTTTCCCAAGTGTCAAGGAGCCCTATTATTATTATTATTATTATTATTATTATTATTATTATTATTATTATTTGAAACACAACAAGATGAGTCCACAGTAACAAGATCACTCTGCTGGCTGTTGTATTGGATCATATGTCAGACACTTCTCAAGTGTCTAGGACTGTGTGATGCATCGGCGAATAATGCGTGCAGATCCCAGTAAGGTGGCCTTCTGCAGCTGGCAGATGGTAATCTTGTCAGCGCCGATTGTGTTTAAGTGCAGGCCAAGGTCTTTAGGCACTTCAAGGTGGTGCCACTGGGACCACCTTGACTGGCTTGTGCCACATTTTTTGCTGTTCAACCTTTAAGTCCTCATATCATATCAGCTTTTCTGCCAAGAAAACACTGTGACAGATTTACCTTAGGGTTGCCAGAAATCAGAAATGACTTGGTACCATACATTATGCAAAAGATGTGTGCAGCAATCAGTTCACAAAAACCTCCTGTAATAGAAAAGTCTTTCTCTACCGGTGAAAGGATAGCAAAGAAATATCCAGTCTGGTGTCCTTAGGAAGTGAGTCTGGAAGCACTCTCTCCCATCGTCTCCATTAATCTTACCTGTAAAGGTGATAGGACCTAAAGAAGCATCTTGACACAAGATCTTAGAGCTTCCAGTTATCAGTTGCTCTGATAACTGGAACCTGGGCTGTATGGGACTTTATAGTTGATAACCAGCAGTTTTGAACAGTATCCCCAAACAGATAAACAGCTAATAAGAGTGCTGTGGCAAGAGGTTCATATGCTCCCTATAATCAACCCCCTGCTAGTAATGTTAGTGATGGTCTGAACTGGCTAGGAAACGACAATGAGAGGTAGTAAGAGGTGTTTTAAATGCACATTAGTAATGTGGCTGCAGCTCTTTGCACCAGCTGAAGTTTCTGAAAACTCTTCAAAGACAGGCCTATGTAGAGAGCTTTATAGTAATCCGAATGGGATGTAACTGAGACAAGTGTCACAGTTGCCAAGTCAGATGTCCCCTAGGAACAGGTGCGGTTGATTTAACTGTGCAAATACACTCTTAGCCACTCTTTGGCACCAACAAAATATGAATATCCTGGGTCAAGAATGAGTCTAGGAATACACTCGAATTGGAACCATGTGTTTTCAGAAGGAGTGTACCACAAATGTAATGCAGAACACAACACAAGCCGGTGCCAGTTGAATCCTATTCCCTGATCTGAAATTCAGCTGACATTCTATCTTATCTGGATGACACTTCAGTTTGTTTGCCCATATCTCATCCCTTATTGTTAGTAGGCATGGCCTTCAGGACAAACATCTTTCTTGGATTGAGGAGGAAAGAAGAGAGATAGAGCTGAGTATCAGCTGCATACTGATAGCACTGTCCCCCAAATTTTCCAAACCACATTTCCCAGCAGAACACTCTTTGGGCCAGCAGCCAAAGCATTGAACAGTAGTTGCCTATGGAAAAGGTTACTTTTATTTGAATGGTCTACTGTGTTAGGCCCTTCAAGCAGGTACAGCAGTATTGTACGATGCTTCCCTCAGCCTGAAAAACTCACAGCAACCCAATCTAGATAATCTTACACATGACCCTCTGGAGATGGGAGGATACTATATGTGCTCTAGAAAAAGAGAATATTGGAGACAGGCTGGAAACTACACATTATAGCTGCATTTAGGCCTTATTAACTGTGATCTTGTAACTATATCTGTTAGTTAGAATCAGAAATTTACCTTGCTGTAGAAAGGTATTAATTACTCCATTTACCCACCCAAACAGACCTTTTTTTCACCATTTAATTAGGCAGAAGAAGCAAAAATCCAACATGTCTGTGGTAGGTTTCACCTCTCTGAACATCAAATATAGTGCACTTGGTTAGTATTGACTTATACAGCTTAAATCAGAGATGGAAATTGTGCTGTCCTTCAGGTTTTGTTGGCCTGCAGCAGCAGCACCCCAAGGTAGCATAGCTAGTAATGGGGAATGCTAGAATCTAGAGTCCTGCAACACCTGGAGGGATGTCTTAATCCCATCCCTTTCTTAAATGGTACACATTCACAGGACTTTTGCCTGCCTACAGGTGTACCTAGTATGATTGACAAGTGTAGGTGGTGAGGAATACGAGTTTGTCTAACAGAAAGGAGGTGTTTTTATAAAGACCCTTTTGACACCTATTGCATGGATCTTACTAATCTTTTTGAAATTATGTTTAAGGAGCTCTTGATGATGATGGGATGCCACATGGATTCTGTACAGTCACATATTCATCCACAGACAGGTTTGAAGGAAACTTTGTCCATGGAGAAAAGAATGGCCATGGAAAGTTCTTCTTCTTTGATGGAAGGTAAATATATTATGCATGTTGCTTCTTTCTTTTAACTTTTTTTGTTTATATGATACCTTGAGTAGTTTATTTTATTGAGGTTTTTACAATTCACTCAAGAGAGGAAACACGAGCTATAACCCACATCCGGCTTGCGATGCAATCATTACTTTGATCTTGTTTACAGCTATTACCTCTTCTGCAGAATCTTGGTATTGCAATCTTCTGAGTTTTTTGACCACCTCATTTCTTTATTTCTTCATACTTTACTGAAATAAATTAAATGTCAATTATTTGACAAATGTACATGTTGATAAAGGATCTTTCATTTCCAAGTTTTCTAAAAGTTTAGTTGTTGGGCCCATGTCCAGGAGCCTGCTTTATTGTCCTTGCTTACAAGTAAAGCAGATTAGAGGCCATGGAAGCATATGAAGACTTTTGCTGGATTAGACAAAAATTTTGTCTGGCCCAGCATTCTGTTTGTACAGTGACTGACCAGTTGCCTGTGGGGAGCCCATGAGTAAAACAGGAGTGGAATTTCACTCTACCCTTCTTTGGCCCCAGCAGTTCTCTGACTGGGTTGTTGTGCATTTTCTGGGCTACGTGGTCATGTTCCAGAAGCACTGTCTCCTGATGTTTCACCCACATCTATGGCAAGCATCCTCAGAGATTGTGAGGCTTGTGGAAAGAAGGCAAGTGTGGCTTATATATCTGTGGAATGTCCAGGGTGGGAGAAAGAACTCTTGCCTGTTTGAGGTAGGTGCGAATGTTTCAATTGGCCACCTTGATTAGCATTTAATGGCCTAGCAATTTCAAGGTATGGCTTCTTACACAGATATATGAACCCATTTTCCTAGTTTCTGACAGAACTCACAACCTCTGAGGATGCCTGCCATAAATGCAGGTGAAATGTCAGGAGAGAATGCTTCTAGAACATGGCCATACAGCCTGGAAAACTCACAATAACCCAGTGATTCCAGCCATGAAAGCCTCTGAGTTCTCTGACTTAGTGCTGATTTTTTTTCATGTATTGTAAAATGATTTTTAAAGACCCCTCTTGCAGGCAATTGTGCTGAATAGTTACAATCAGAATTTCTTTTCCATAAGCACAGCATGTTACCCACCTTCCTAATCCCTTAAGTAGCTGGTCGGTCCTTTCTGCAGAAAAAGAAGTTAGCAGTTATATAAACATCTGAGCATATCTGAGGATCCCAATTGGCTTTATACTAAAATCTGTTTAATGTTGTAATGCTGGGCAGAAGTAATTTATTATTATATAGGAGATTCGGAAGGGTTTCAGAATACAAGAAACATACACACACAATCAAAATTCAAAGCACATTTTGAAACACTGCTATTGATAAAGAAATCAAAATAGGTGTTCCATAATATATTTAGAGCTAGCATTCATCAAAGATGAACCATTAAATGTCTGTCAAAAAGACAGGAAGCTTTACATGAAAAAGAAAGCAAAGAGGGATTTGGAAAGATTTCCACAGAGCAATGATGCCAAGAAGGAACTGTGGTCAGTCACCTCTTGGCCTGAGATAGTAAATGGTTTGAGCCCGGACAATTTGACAACCCACATCCCCATTTACTAACCCATTCAAACTCTGCAGTCATACAAGGGGGCTCTCCTTTCGGTCCCACTCCTGTCTTAAGTATGGCTGGTGGGAACGAGGGGGGGGGGCTTCTTTGTGGTTGCTCCTTCCCTCTGGAACTCCCTCCCAAAAAACTCAGAACAGCCCCCTTAACTCTTCTCCTTGAAGAAAGAATTAAAAACCTATTTCTGTTCACTGGCCTATGGAGAGTAGGATGAATAATATAATGGATTCCATCCTGGCGGATGAAGTTGATAATTATAATTTAACTTATAGAAAAGCTATATTTTTATATACTTATACAGAGTTTAACTATTTAATTGTACCACCTATGATGCTTGACTGATCAGTTTATATCTTTTTAGCCAAAGTTGTTTAATGTGTAAATGCTTAATTTGTATATTGTATATACCAGGCATCCTCAAACTGAGGCCCTCCAGCTTGTTTGGGCCTTCAACTCCCAGAATTCCTGAGAACTCATAAGCTTGTTAGGGCTTCTGGGAGTTGGAGGCCCAAACAGCTGGAGGACCACAGTTTGGGGATGACTGGTATATGACATTCAATGTTTTTGCTTTTGGAAGTCGCCCTGAGTCCCTTCAGGGAGAGAGGGCAGGTTTATTATTATTATTATTATTATTATTATTATTATTATTATTATTATTATTATTAAGCTTGCAAGATTTCTGAATCAAGGAAGGTCTTTACAGCAGGGAGACGGTTTTTATCACAATTAGTCCGTAAACCATTCAGCTAGGGTTTGAACACTTTTTTTCAAAGTGGATCAAATAATAAATTTCCTTGTGCACTATCTTCTTTCTTCACATTCACCAGCACCCTAGAAGGATATTATGTTGATGACGGTCTGCAAGGCCAAGGAGTGTACACTTATGAAGATGGAGGGGCTCTCCATGGCACCTACATGGATGGTGAACTGAATGGGCCAGCCCAGGAGTACGATCCTGATGGACGATTGATATTCAAAGGGCAATACAAGGATAATATTCGCCATGGGATTTGTTGGATATACTACACAGTAAGTTAATTGATTATTAGTTCAAATATTATGTATATGCAGAAGTGGCAACATCAGTGAAGACGTAATGATAATATGTGGCAGAGTGGAAGGCAAAAGCTGTAGCATTACAAAAAAGAGAAGTTATCAAAACTGCCATGTTTACGATGTGATGTCCATATGCAAAGGCTGCTGAGAGCAAGCAATTATAACTTTGCAATCTCTGGTCTTTAAAGACCCCAAGATTGTTTTTCCATCCAATGTTCTTGGTCAATTTTTATTATTTGAATGTAGGTGAAATATTTACTAAGCATCATTCTTTACTGTCTTTAGTTTAGAACCATGATAGCAGAGTTGCTTCTTGTTTTCAGAAATGAATAGCCCTATTCAGGCCAGTCAAGCTAGTGACACTCTGCCCGAAATGCTGAATGGGTTCTGCAGTGACCATCTACATGCTTCAGAACGTTCTGTTACAAGAATTGATGTCTCAGTTCTGAAGCTAAAAAAACAAAGTATGCTGTTAAACTTTTCTCATATCCTCTAAAAACAGAAATGAAAGTAACCTCTCTTTCCATGCAGTGCAAAAAGACATGACTGCACTCTCTTCTAGATATTCCTTCAAAAGCTTTTAAAAAACCTAACTTTCTGGAAACCACAACTAGGAATGTAAGGAATCCTGTTATACACACGACATGAGCAAGTTTAGTCAGTAACATAATTGTTACCTTGTCAATAATCAATGTTGCAATCCCAGGCAACAGAAGGATTGACGAGAAGCAACTGAAAAAGCTTACACAATATGAGGATTTAAAGATAGAACTGCAAAGACTCTGACACAAGCTAGTGAAGGTGGTCCCAGTGGAGATCAGCACACTGGGTGGAGTGCCTAAAGACCTTGGCCTGCACTTAAAAACAATAGGCACTGACAAAATTTCCATCTGTCAGCTGCAAAAGGCTACCCTACTGGGATCTGCATGCATTATTCGCTGATACATCAAACAGTCCTAGACACTTGGGAAGTGTCCAACATGTGATCCAGTACAACAGCCAGCAGATTGATCCCTTGTTTGCTGTGTACTAATCTTTTGATGTATCTAATAATAATAATAATAATAATAATAATAATAATAATAATAATAATAACAATCATAATAATAATACTTTATTTCTAGACTGCCCTCTCTCCCCAAAGGGGCTCAGGGTGATTTACATACATATTAGAAGGCAAATATTCAATGCAATAGTTAAATGATACAATATCAAAAGATGGGAAATAAACATTAACAAACTTCAGATCAGCAGTTCAGCCAGCACAAGGGTTTAACCCATGGCACCAACACTGCTCCTAAACCAAACATAAAACTCCTAAGAAAACTATGTAGATAGAACTCCATGGTGGTGGTGATCAAGCAGCAAAAAGATAGTGGGTCATTCATTTAGTTGATTTTCAGAATTCGGCAGAAATATGTTTGGATGTTTATTATCCTCCAGTAGAAAAAAATGTGGGTCTATCGAGGGATGTATATTATTAGAACTGAAGTGATAAGAGAAATGCAGATGATTTGGAATGATTGATGTTGCAGGAAATTGGAAATAAGAAAACAGCACTGCTGTTGGTACCTGTTAAGTTGGAAACTAAATTTCCAAAGATTCCTGTGTTGCAGCAAAAGCAACCCTGTAGCAAAACAAAAATCAAATAAAAGAACAAATGTTATTTTTCTGTTATACCTCCCTCATTCTAAGAGTTTTGTGCTTGGATTGTGCATCCAAAATAAAAATTGTAATGGCTTCAAGTGTCCCTATGTTGGTTTTTTCCAAGCCAATTCCACTGATCAATTCATCATCATCATCATCATCATCATCATCATTTAATAACTTATTAATCGCCCTCCATTCGAGAATGCTCTAGGCGATTTACAGCTAAATTATAAAAGATAAAATACATACATACAAAAATTAAAAATCAACAGAGATCGAATGCTCTAGTAAAAAGCCAGGTCTTAAGTGCGAGAGTAAAAGGCCCTAAGTCACGCATGGCTCTCATGTAGGGCGGCAAGGAATTCCACAAGGCAGGGGCAGAAATAGAAAAAGCCCTGCGTCTGGTCCTTTCCAAGTGCACTTCTCTAGGACCCGGTATATGGAGTAAGTCACGGTGGGCTGGTTTATTATCAATTGCTGGTTTATTATCAAAATCACAATAATCATTTGGGTACCTATGCATTTTGGACAATCATTTCAGTGACAAGAAAACAGTATTATTAATAGGTTCTTGTGGGGTTTTTTTCAGGCTATGGAGCCATGTCCTAGAACATGGCTCCATAGCCCGAAAAAACCCACAAGAACCTAGTGATTCCAGCCATGAAAGCCTTCAACAATAGTATTGTTAATGACAAAACCTACTGAAAGATTAATGGTAGTAAGATCTGTCATGGAGCATTCTTCAGCTGTATGAAACATGTTAAGTATATAGAGATTATTCCTGCTGTATATATTGTATCATGTTTAAAACTTTATTTTATATAGAACATTTTTTTAAATGCATAAGGAAATAGCTTAACTGTACCCATCTTCTCTGAGTATTCCTTGCCTAAGAAAACCCTATGAAATTAATGGTGTTGCCATAAATAGACAGGCAACATGAAGCCACACACGTCAATCTTATGCCTTTCTTTCAGGATGGGGGTCACCTGGTTGGAGAGGTTAATGACGAAGGAGAGATGACTGGAGACAAAATAGCTTATGTATATCCTGATGGGAAGACAGCTTATTATGGACAGTTTATCGACGGTGAAATGTTAGATGCAAAGATGGCAACCCTTGTATCCGTAGTTGGGGGAAAGCCACAATTTGAAGTACTACCTGGCAGTAAGTTTGCTCTTGACACATAGTATTACATGACATGACATGACAGGTGTTCCTACTCAATATGGTTGTGTTGTTTCTCTATTCCAATTCTTATGCCTAAGTAACGTTGCAGAATAAAATTTGTTACAAAGCCATGATGACCCTTTTTTCATGTCAGGAGCGACTTGAGAAACTGCACGTCGCTTCTGGTGTGAGAGAATTGGCCGTCTGCAAGGACGTTGCCCAGGAGACACCCGGATGTTTTTGATGTTTTACCATCCTTGTAGGAGGCCTCTCTAATGTCTCCATATGGGGAGCTGGAGCTGCCAGAGGGAGCTCATCCATGCTCTCCCTGGATTTGAACCTCTGACCTGTCAGTTTTCAGTCCTGCTGGCACAAAGGTTTCACCCATTGCTCCACCAGGGGTTCCATGATGACCATTATATTTGATATTTGATGTAGAATATACTACAAAACAAATGTAAGGAGTGATGTCATTTCATTTTATGTTTTGACCTGGAACATGGAGAAGAAGGGGTGCAATCTGCCTGTGGTATACAAACTGCACACATCTTGGCTGAGATCCTATGGAGTGTCAGTATTATGTAACTCATCACCAGCTTCATATGTAAGACTGGTGGCATTAACAGTATAAATCCAGGATTAGAATGTGTTACTAAAGGTAACATCTCTCATCAGCATTCACATATTTGTCTTGCTTGTCCTTTCCATGTGAAATTTTAAGACTTATAGTAAAACATATATTAACTGATGTTTAAAAGGGAATATGTTGGCAAGTAAATAATACTTTTCCATCCCATTATATCCAAATATGTAACCATGTCAGTTTGCAATATCTGTATGCAAAGGGATCTTGTAGAGCCTCCATGTATCTGAGGAATTAGATGTAGGATGCATCTACACCAGGCATGGGCAAACTTTGGCCCTCCAGGTGTTTGGTCTTCAACTCCCACAATTCCTAACAATCAGGAGGCTATTAGGAATTGTGGGAGTTAAAGTTCAAAGCACCTGGAGGGCTGAAGTTTGCCCATGCCTGATCTACACTACAATTAATGCAGTTTGACACCACTAACTGCACAATGCTATGGAATCCCGGGATTTGTAGTTTGGTGAGACACCAGCAGTCTTTGACATATAAGCCTAAAGGACTTATAAAACTACAACTCCCAGGATTCCAAGGAATTGAGCCATAGCTGTTAAAGTGGTGTCAAACTACATTTGTGTAGATGCAACCATGGTCTAGGAAAGCTTATGCTAACCAACTTCATTTTCATGAGCCCCATCTACACTTCCAAATAATGCAGTTTATAGAACTGCATTATATGAGTCTACTCTGTCCATATAATGCAGTTTCAAACAGCATTATATGGCACTTTAAGTGGGGCCTTCATTAGGGTTCTATAAGATCCCTAATGAAACCCCTATTTATCATTTTAAAATTTCTTGCTTATGAGAATAATTCTGGGTTGCTATGAGTTTTCCGGGTTCTATGGCCATGTTCCAGAAGCATTCTCTCCTGATGTTTCACCCACATTGTTTCCTGATGTATTGCCTGCAAGTAGGCTTTGAAGCTGCAAGGCCATTCAGTGCTAATCAAGGTAGCCAATTGCAACATCCACACTCGCCTCAAACAGACAAGAGTTCTTTCTCCCACCCTGGGCATTCCACAGATATATAAACCCCACTTGCCTAGCTTCCAATAGACTTCACAACCTCTGAGGATGCCTGCCAAAGATGTGGGCGAAACATCAGGAGAGAATGCTTCTGGAACACGGCTATACAGCCCGGAAAACCCACAACAACCCAGTGATCAAAGCCATTAATGCCTTTGACAGAATATAATTCCTTTTCTAAGCCAGCTTCTTTTAAAATAATATAGCTTTCACTTAAAATTTTACTTTCACTTAAAACCGCATTAAGTCGCCTAATTAGGCTGAAAAATGCGGTATAGAAATAAAGCAAATAAAAAATAAAAATAAATAATAAAATTTTATGAGTGGAAGTATATGCAATTTATGTACTGCTCTAATAGAGGAAGAGTAGAGAAATTGTTACTAGCTACTCAGGGATTTACAGTTTAATGTTTGCAAAGAGCCTGCTTCCCAAAGTCTCATTGGCTTCACTGATGTTTAAGAATTTGCAAATTCTTAAATATCTGTTGTTCAATGCAATATAATTGCAAGTATAAAGTACTTCTGTGCAAAGCAAAGCTTTTAAAATAAGTTGATAAGCATTCTTTGTATATTAGATGAATATGCACTCATATTTGTAACAAAATCTACTTTGAAAGTACTTACAGTTGAGAAGAAAAATAAAAAGGGTGAAATAATTATGTGCAAGCATTGCTTTATGTACAACTACAGCAAGTTGCAACAGGAGATGTTTTTCTGTCTTGTTTCGAATAGTTAAATTTCCTTTTTTGTGTGTACTGAATGTAAAATGCTAATAAGAGCGAAATCTGCCTTTTAATATTGTCCATTAATTCCTGTACTGGTTTATTTTTAGGCCCAGTATACAGTTTTGATAAATCTACTTCATCCTGCATTTCTACAAATGCACTTCTTCCTGATCCTTATGAATCAGAGAGGTAGAATGTTTTTCTGTATATCGTTTCAGCCATATTCATAAAGAGTTGCAAATAAACTATTTAGTGGCTTGCTGTGACTTTTCCAAGGTGTATGGCCATGTTCCAGAAGCATTCTTTTCTGACGTTTTGCCCACATCTATGGCAGGCATCTTCAGAGGTTGTGAGGTCTGTTGGATACTAGGCAAGTGGGGTTTATATATCTGTGGAATGTCCAGGGTGAAAACAAACTTTTGTCTGTTGGAGGCAAGTGTGAATGTTACAAATGGCCACCTTAATTAGCTTTGAATGACCTTGTAGCTGCAAAGACTGGCTGGTTACTGCTGGGGGGATACTTTGTTGGGAGGTGTTAGCTGCCCCTGATTGATTCTTGTCTGGAATTCCCCTGTTTTTGAGTGTTTTGACAACAGAAAGGAGAAATCCATGAAAATGAACCAAATCTGGCTACCAGTATTTATTTATTTTTTTAAAAAAACCCTCTAAAATCAGGACAGTAAATAAAAAGCAACACTCAAAAATAGGGAATTCCAGACAGGAATCGGTCAGGGCCAGCTAACACCTCTCAACAAAGGATCCCCCAGGCAGCAACCAGCCAGGTTTGAAGCTGCAAGGCATTTAAGTGCTAATCAAGGTGGCCATTTGCAACATTCACACTTGGCTCAAGCAAACAATTTCTTTTTCTCAGGCCATACAGCCTGGAAAACTCACAGCATCCCAGTAATTGTGGCCATGAAAGCATTCGACAATAAACTATTTTGTGTGTGTATTTCACATTTTAAGATACCATTCAACAACACTTTGCTAATTGGAATGGCCGCAAGGGATAAATTTATTTCTAGTTACGTCCTTTAATCTGATAATTACCTTCCATGTTGAATTGATTTTTTTTCTTAAAACACCTGGATTGGTACAAGAAACTTTTACTATGGTAAACATTAATTTGAATATTTGTTTCAGCAGGAATTTAATGTATCAATATATTTGATCATGTGTTTGTGATGGTTGATGCTGGGTCATCCACCCGGATAGTAAAATGCTTTTGTTTTCTGCTAATCACTATCATAGAATCAACATTTTTTCAAGCATAAATTTGCTTGTGGATTCTCAGATGTTATAACCTGTCTTAGAAATATCAGTGTGCATAGAAAGAGTACTAATTATAACACTGTTATTTATTTATTATTGTCCCCTTTTATTAGGGTATATGTTGACATATCTCTCATTTCCAGTGCTGGAGAAGGGTTATTTTCTAAAATAGCAGCTGATGCTAGCACAGTCATGTCCTTTTACAATGGTGTACGAATTACACACCAAGAGGTAACTATACCACTTCTTTTAGAAGTGCTTCTATTGTTTATTATTCCTAATCTACTAGTATTTTCTTCAAATTTTCTATTACTTTGCAAGGATGGGGTATAAATGGTAAAGGATGCTGTAGTTGCTTGGGGAATGCACTGGTGCCAAAGCCATAGAGCAGTGGTTCTCAATTTGTGGGTCCCCAGATGTTTTGGCCTTCAGCTCTCAGAAATCCTAACAGGTGGTAATTTCTGGGAGTTGTAGGCCAAAACATCTGGGGGCCCACAGGTTGAGAACCACTGCAATAGAGCAATGTCCTAATAACACTGCACAACTCTGGAATGAACAAATATATTATTTTCTGGATTACATATAAGGAAAGGATGGATCTTGCAGTATGCAAATCTGAGCCATTTGCATTATAGAATCATAGAGCTGGAAGAGACTTAGTGGGCCATCAAGTACAAACCCTTGCAATAAAGCAGTAAAATAACAGATGGCCATCCAGCCTTTATTTAAAAGTCTCCGAAGGAGCTTCCACCACACTCCAGGGCAGAGAGCATCACTGCTGAACAGCTCTCACATTTAGGAAGTTTTTCCAGATGTTGAGGTGGAATCTCCTTTCTTGTAGTTTGAAGCCATTGTTTCACCTCCTAGTCTCCAGGGCAGCAGAAAACAAGCTTGCATCCTCCTCCCTATGACTTCCCCTCATATATTTATACATGGCCCTCATCATGTCTCCTCTCAGCCTTCTCTTCTGCAGGTTAAACATTCCCAGTTCTTTAAGCTGCTCCTCATAGGGCTTGTTCTCCAGACCCTTGATCATTTTAGTTGCCCTCCTCTGGACAGGTTCCAGTTTCTCAACATCTCTTTTCAATTGCGGTGCCCAGAATTGGACACAGTATTCCAGGTGTGGTCTGACCAAGGCAGAATAAAGGGGTCCCTGGATCTAGACACTATACTCCTATTTATGCAGGCCAAAATCCCATTGGCTTTTTTAGCTGCTGCATCACGTTGTTGGCTCATGTTTAACTTGTTGTCCATGAGAACTCCAAGATTATTTCATTAGACCAAAAAGATCTTTTCAATCCTATTTGACATTAACAGTGACAGAATAACTTCCCTGCCCCCTAAATTCAAGTGCTGAAATAAAGGAAGTTTACCAAAAAATGGATTTATATGTGTTGATACTATGAGCTCCATTCAGTTCTGGGATTCAAAATTAATTTCTGTCACTCTAATTCACAACACTAGGGTTTGTAGTTTAGGGAGGAGCCTTTAACAACCTCACTAAACTACACATCTCAGAATTCTGCAGGAGGCAGAAACCAGAATTTAAGTGGATTTTTTCCTCTAGTGTGATGAAGTAATAAGCGTATTTCTTTTGAATCTCATGTGGTGTCTCTCAAGGTTTTAGTAAAAACTAAATAGCTTGTCAAAAGCCTCAAGGTTTTTGCATAGGGACACCAAAGTAAGAGCATCAACTTCACACAAAATCAAATTTGCCACAGGTATGCTTCATGTTGGTATCATTCTCATTTTAGCTGGCATTTTAACTATTTTGTTAAGTGTTTTTTTCCTTCTCATTTTCTTTGATATGATTCTACCGAACCTTAGAAAAGCACTAATTCATCTACTCCAGTGACAGGGAAATTGCTTTTGTAGCAGATGTGCTACAAAATCTACTCTGAAAATGACTTTCCGTTGTGTAAATGTGTTGAAGAAAGTGAAATGCATACTTCCAAATAGGCACTGCATGTTACCAGTCAGAAGGCATTGTGCAACTGTTTTAACTTTTGCTCTTTAACAACATGTTTGTAGAATGAAAAGAAGTGGTTGGAAAATGTTGGAAGGTTATGCATGGAAGAGGGCTTCATCTCAAGCCCTCATACATTTGTAATAAAAACCTTATATGAAAATAACATGATGGTAGGTGGGTGGGTTGGGGAAATTTCGCATTGTCAAGATTATTGAAGTGGTGAAGTCTGCTCTTCTCTGGGATTTGACTTTTTTTAATCTATTTACATTGCTCTTAGTTAGCACAAGAACTTTCAGCAAGATGTTGGATGTCACTTGTTTGTACACTGTCTCAGAATACATAATGCAAGAAATGCATGTGATGCTTTAAATTGGACAAAAATGCAAAGCTAATGTTGCGGCACTATCTGTTTTGAATATTAGGTGGACAGCAGAGACTGGGCATTGAATGGAAACACAATATCCCTTGATGATGAAACAGTCATTGATGTACCAGAACCCTACAACTATGTATCTAAATACTGTGCCTCCCTGGGGCACAAAGCAAACCACTCTTTCACACCAAACTGTGTCTATGATTCGTAAGTATTGAGGTTCGGTTTGATACCTGGTCCCTCTTTTGAAATGTTAGAATTGTGCCCAGCGATGCACTTTTCTGTACAATATCTTGTGGTAACAGCTTGGGTCCAGTGTACAACTGGAAACAAAGGAAAGCATTCTTGGGAAAATGCATTGTTTGGCAGGATGATTCATGCTCTTTGTTGAAACCCAGTGATTTTTGCTGTGCTGTGCAATCTAAGCAATGTCTTTTTCAGGATATTGTGAAATGAAATAATGTGCAAAAGAAAGAGTTTTAATTCGTGCTCATCCATGACAATACAGGTGTGCCCCCAAAGATCCAAATATCACATCATTGCCACTCTTTAAAAAAAAATGGATTGTGAGTTAATTCTAGGTTTCAGATTGTTGGGGAAGTTTTCCATTTAGATATGGCAATCTGTATTTGTTCCTATGGAAGCTCTGCATGTATGCACACCCAGATCTTTGATTCCTTTACATAGAGTCCCATGGCTTGGAAGGTGAGGCGATCCTATCACAAGCAAATAAAGTTTGGTATTAAAAATGCAGCAGTCTTAGAATAACAGCTGTTTGGGAAGGAGAAAGCAATACAAAGGGAATTAACTATTCCAGAGAGCTTTTTACAGTTTGGACCATTTGAAAACACATTGAATCAAAATAGTGGTGAAAGATAAGTTGGGAGATAGAAAACATGCAGAGACCGAAAATAGTGTGCAAATGGCTTTTGCTCTCTACTTCAGTGATGCAGCAATGCAAGAGGTGTTTCCGGGGAACACTTGAGAAGTAATTTCCTTCACGTATTGTCATTTTGCACATCTTCTGCAGTTCTATTGTTTGATAGTGTGCAAATGGCTTGCGCTCTCCTCTTTGGTGATGCAGCAATGCAAGTGGTGTTTCCAGGGGACACTTGAGAAGTAATTTCCCTCATGTCTAGTCATTTTGCATATCTTCTGCAGTTCTATTGTTAGAGAGCTGTTTATATGAAGCAAACATTTTAGGTTTGGGAAATTGTCTCCCATTTTATGACCCTCATGGACATTGTTTTGAATTTCTATACTCAAATATATCTAGGGAAAGTTCCATGAATATGTACAGGCAGTCCCCAAGTTGAAATAATAATGATGATGATGATGATGATGATGATGATGATGATGATGTTTGGATTATTGATGTCGCCATACCGGCTGACAGTCGCATTGAGGAAAAACAACAGGAAAAACTCAGCCGTTATCAAGACCTCAAAATCGAATTGCAAAGGCTCTGGCATAAACCAGTACAGATGGTCCCAGTGGTAATCAGCACACTGGGTGCCATGCCAAAAGATCTAAGCCGGCATTTGGAAACAATAAACATTGACAAACTAATGATCTGTCAACTGCGAAAGGCCACCTTACTTGGATCTGCACGCATCATTCGAAAATACATCATACAGTCCTGGATGCTTGGGAAGTGTTCTACTTGTGATTTTGTGATACGAAATCCAGCATATAGATCTCATTTGCTGTGGCATACTGTGTTTTGTGTCAATAAAATAATAATAATAGTAATAATAATATAATTTATTCCATACCGCCCTCTCTCCCTGAGAGACTCAGGGTGGTTTACACCCTGAGTCACGAAGGGCTGTCAGAGGGGGTTTCAGAGGGGTTGCCAAAGACCATCAGGAAACACACTATTTTCTGTTGGTCATGGGGGTCTGTGTGGGAAGTTTGGCCCAATACTATCATTGGTGGGGCTCAGAAGGCTTTTTAATTGTAGGTTAACTATAAATCCCAGCAACTACAACTCCCAAAAATCAAGTCTGTTTTCCCAAACCGCACCATATTGGGCATATTGAGTATTTGTGCCAAGTTTGGTCCAGAACCATCATTGCTTGAGTCCACAGTGCTCTTTGGATGTAGGTGAACTACAACTCCAAAACTCAAAGTCTATGCTCACCAAACCCACCTAGTATTTTCTGTTGGTCATGGGAATTCTGTGTGTCAAGTTTGGTTAAATTCTATCATTGACGGAGTTAAGAATGCTCGTTGATTGTAGGTGAACTATAAATCCCATCAACTATAACTCCCAAATGACAAAAATCAATCCCCCTCAACTCCACCAGTATTCAGTTTTGGGCATATCGGGTGCCAAATTTGGTCCAGTGAAAATACATGCTGTATATCAGATATTTACATTACAATTCATAACAGTAACAAAATTACAGTTATGAAGTAACAATGAAAATAATGTTATGGTTGGGGGATCACCACAACATGAGGAACTGTTTTAAGGGGTCATAGAATTAGGAAGGCTGAGAACCATTGCTTTAAAGCCATGCACAGGAACTAATTAAAACTCATTGGAAATAGGTAAATAATTTGGCTGCTACTCTCTGACATTAACACTCTATGCCTCATTTTCCACCCCCTAGATTTGTTCATCCTCGATTTGGGCTGATTAAGTGCATTCGTACCACTAGAGCTGTGGAGAAGGATGAAGAATTAACAGTAGCTTATGGATATGATCATAATTCCACAGAACAGAATGGCCCAGAAGCACCTGAGTGGTACTTAGTAGAACTGACGGCTTTCCAGGCATCCCAGAAAAAGTGAAATGCAGACCGCTTCCCTGTTCATCAAATTGGATCTATGCACTCCCCTTGACAACTGGAATCAGGACGCCAGGGATTGTTCTCTAAATCCTTCACTCTGTGTCAGAGAGGGGTGGTTTGTTTGTTTTTTAAGCATTCTAACAGGTTTGAACTGTTATTTTAGAATAATTTTTAAATCTTTAGCCAGTGTTGTGAAATAACTATTTAATATACTATAGGAAACAGTGTGGTTTTCTTTGGCAACTATTCTGTATCACATGCAAAGTTGTTGGAATCTAAAATAAGAGTATAAAAAGACTTGAGAGGCTTGCCTACAGATACAGTCTAGTTGTTCCTGTGCAGCTGTATTTTGTATACTTGCCATTTTGTGATGGTAATAGAATTGTGCTGTTTTTTAATATACTAGAGAAGTAGCATCAACTTTTGAGATTAATGCTTTAGAGCAGTTTCTGTTGCGGGTGCACAGGAGCTGGGCTTTTGCAAATCCTGCCTCTCTCTTAGCACCCTCGTTTTCTTAAAGGTGTACACCACACAAAAGATTTAAGCAACAATGTTTTAAGTAGGTTTTTATGGTTCTGTGGACAAATTAATTTTAGACATGTGCCTAAGGAAACCATAGCCGGTGGGACTTGAATTATGATAATCACACTCAAATAATTTCTTGTTGTGTATGCGTGTGTGTGTATGTGTGTGTGTGTAGGTATATTAGGGATTTTTTAAAAATTAAAAAGGTCAAAAGCAAGACAGAGAGTAAATATAATAAGTGTAGAAGAAGCTTTTAATATTGCAACAAGAGATTTCATGCTTGTTGAATCTTCTTTCTTCTTTTCCTGCCTTGATTTGGGATTTGTGTTTATATTCCCAGGGTGTCTGAATAGGGCAGATTTATTTGATGTATGGGAACGGATTAATAACTAGAGAAGTTGCACTGAAGCCCTGTTTATTTTATAGTCTGTGGTCTAAAAACGGTCGACATCTAAAAGGGGATTGGAAAGGTTAAAAGCAAAAAACCTGAATGATTACTTACTTACTTTACAGTAAAACTAATTATGTTTATCTATGTGTCAAATCCCTTTTATGGGAATGATAAAATATACCTTATAATTCTTAACTTGCCTTTACCTGTTATTAGCAAACCACTATCAGAAGAGCTTTCAAAGGTCTGTACATCAGTTATAATGCTGGTATTTGTTGTTTTTTATTAAAAGAATAGATTTCTAAATATTTGCAATACATTAACAAATTATGGACATGGTAATGTTCTCACTAGTTGGAGTGTGTTCATCTTTGCATCTGCCATTAGAGGGAAATGGCTATTAAGACTGCAATGCTGTACACGGTTTTTATGGGAATATGGCTATTGAACACAATAGGACTGACTTCTGGATGGACATGTCCTGCATGCAAAAACCCTGTTGCATATATTCTTTACCTGCAGGCAAGATAGGTAAAAAACAACAACAACAACAACAACACTTCATTTATATTCCTGCTCTATCTCCCCAAGGGGGCAGTACACATTCACGGCAAACATTCAATGCCATTTTGGATAGACAAGACAGAAATAGTCAGAACAGAAAGAAGGTATGTTGTGTCAACATCCAGGTTTTTCGACGCCTTGGAGGTTGTGCTCAAATCCAGACACGGGGGTGATGTTGCTCCATCCTCTATGACAAAGAGCCATCAGAACTTCCTCCTTCCTTTTGGTCACTGGGCATTTTCTGATCTTTTTCTTTATGGTGTCGTAAAATAACTCTCCCACTTGTTTTTGCAATACCTAATTTCACTACTTACAGCTCAAACTGTTTTCAAACTCCTTAGGTAAATAGTAAGCTGGGCTGACAGTCGGGTGCTGACACCAACCTGGGGCTTCGAACAGGCAACCTTTCGGTTGGTAGATGTTACCATTGCTGGTGATTTACCAGCGGTGCTAAAGCCCGGCCCTCAGTGAGGGACAGAGTACAGAATTAAATAAAGAAGAGTAGAGCAAAAAAGCAAAGGCAGTGTTCAAAAGAGTACAAAGGAGGTTGGTAGGTTTCCAGATAAATGTATCTGAAATTTACATTTTTATTCATTTCCTAATTTCTGTTTCATTTTGTGGCTTACGCTTGCTTACTCTTGCTCTCACTCTCTGTCATTCACCATTCCTTGACCAGCATTTAGGATAGATAATTTTCTAACCTTAAAAAAAAAAATAGGTTTTCAACAGGGAAATAGCATAAAGATCAGCTAAAAAAGTGGAAGTAGCAATAGCAGCTGAGGGCTTCCATGTCAGGTTAATCTGTTCTGAATTTTAATCTAAACCAGAGTTGTTGTCAAAGGCTTTCATGCAACCCAGCATCACTGGACTTTCCTTCTCATTACCACCAGTTTTAACATTTTCTCTAATGCAATACAAATCAAGTGGTACCATATTATATCCCCCTTGTCCTTTTGGTGTGTGCAATTTGACTTGGCTTACAGTGGAAACAATTTAAAGGGTAAAGGTTTCCCCTTGACATTAAGTCTAGTCAAGTCTGATTCTGGGGTGGGGGGTGCTCATCTCAATTTCTAAGCCGAAGAGCCAGCATTGTCCATAGACATCTCCTAGGTCATATGGCTGCCGTGACTGGATGGAGCACCATTACCTTCCCACTGAAATAGTACCTATTAATCTACTCACATTTTGCATGTTTTCAAACTGCTGGTTGACAGAAGCTGGGGCTAACAACACCGATTCAAACTGCCAACCTTCTGGTCAGCAAGTTCTGCAGCGTATCAGTTTAACCCACTGTGCCAACTGGTCCCATGGAAACGGTTACTTTCCTGAAAAACAGCAAGCATGTCTACAAGGAGACACATGTTGATTCTTTATGAACTTTTGCCTTTTATATGTAAAGAGTGGAGCATTTGTTTTCTGGTGCCATCATGCAATTTAGATGCTGACATACTCTGTTGGGGAAACGTGATACTTCCCTAACCAGAACATACAAGCCTATTTAATTAAAAGTTGTTTTGCATGTTGATAGCTCCTTTGATTTTCTAATACAAAAGAATTGCTTTGCCAGATCAAGATCCATCTTGTCTGTCAAACATGTGCTATGGACTCTGCATGCTTAATGACCCATTTTGGAAAGTAGCTCCTTACTTTCAGCCAAACTTGACTGTGTAGAAGCTTTGAGGAGCTTATCCCCCTTTAGAAATAAACAGTATCTTTGTAAACACTTTTAAAAGCCACTGCAGATCTCTTTTGAGCAAGTTCTAAAAAAAACTATGGGGAAAATTATCATTATTCTTACCCTTTACATTTTTTCTCCTGATTCAGAAATCTCTGAACTTAGTCTGGGACAGGTGTATAAGTGCCATATCTGACAGCCAGTGTTTCCATCTGTCCCTTTAAATTTCCAAGTTGGTACCATAAAGGATGTTTTTTCTGGATAAGCTATCAAGAAGTGGATGTGTGGAAAGGCCTTGGAAAGCTAAACTTCATCAATGGATTATTGAGAGTTGTTTATTAGTATCTGGTGCAATTACTACTTGATTGATGCTCTCCAGTTGTTTTCCCATTGCTTGAATTGTGTTACTAGATAACTGTTTGCAAACAATATTTTTTTCAAAACAAAAATATATTTATAACATCTTTATCAGAGCATCACAGACTGATGGCTAATGTCAGCAAAATAGAAATGACTGCTCAATAAGTTTCTAATCTAATCTATTAGTGTGTCATTAGATGCAATAGAGCTGGTGTTTAGGACTGCTAATTCACTATCAGATAGGTCAATGAGGTACAAGATGCTTGCAGAGGTTTTAATTGTTATTTATTGTCATTACTGTCTCTGCAGGAAGATGGTCTGCCCTTCCATACACAAATGTTTTAATTAAAATTTTCCAGACTTATTTGGAGGGGTGGATATTGTTACAATACTTGTGTATTTAAAAAAATGACCTATTCAAGCCATAAGATATGGACAAGAGGCAGTGTTTACTTTACAGGACTTTTACATGGTATGCATGTGTATCAGAGTTGTGTGGAGAAAAAACTTTTTATGACAGAATGCATATATAAAATATGACTAAACCTATAGTTATATTTGTAAATATTTTTTATCAAAAACAATGTGGAAGTCCAAACAAACAGATAACAATACTTTAAAGTTCAAAAATGAATGAGGAAACTCTGAGCATATGTGTCATATAACTTTGGAATTTCTAATGTCAAATCTGACATTTCTAAATTGTGCTTCCTGCTGTTTCATATTCAGTGATAGTAGGCCATATGCTAATGTTAGTTTAATTGAGAGGACACAAATAAAGAAAGCTGTTATTAAAAATGCTCACTTTTGCAGGATTGTAGATAGTTTTGTCATCAACATCAGATATGGAGCCACTATGCAAAATGCATAGATAATAATAATACACTTTATTTATATTTTGCTTTATCCCCCTGGAGGGACTCGAAATGGATTACAGTTTACATATATAAGGCAAACATTAAATGCTTTTGTACACAGTGAACAACGACATACAATACACAGACAGAAGTAAAGGCCTTCCTCTTTCCACCCCTGCCGTCTGGAGGCGATGCTCAACTTCGGCCATGGGGAGGTGCTCTTGTTCCATTTTTCCATGCCGAGGAGCCTGTTGTCCATAGACTTTCTCTGATCGTTGTCTGCATTGGGCACCTTTTTACCTTCCCACCAAAGCGGTACCTATTGATCTACTCGCATTGCATGCTTTTGAACTGCTAGGTAGGCAGAACCTAGGGCTAACAGCCAGTAGCTCACTCTGACTCACAGCTTCAAACTGCTAACCCTCCGGCCAGCGGATTTTCCGCAGCTATCAGTTTTAACCACAGCCCAATACTAATAAGCCAAGTGTGTCTAAAAAATGTGTAGCCTTTTGTTGTGTTTCCAGCTCTAGACCTCTTAGTATAATATTTGAGAGAGTATGAGGCATTTCAATTTTGAGATCAGTGATCCATTTGTAACATTTTGAAATGTCTTATTAGTGGATAATGTGCTGTTGATATCACGCTCATTTGAAGAGAGACATGCAAATAACACCAGATCATTTTTAAACAAGTTAGTTAATTTGTTCTGGGAATTGTAATAAGAAATGTTAGCGTTATAATTGAGTAAAGAGTAATGTTTTATAACTGATATGACATAGTCCAAATAACACAAGTGAACAAAATCAAACATTTTGTAATACTGAGAGAGTTGCACAGTTTAAATCAATTTTATGCTGATTTTAAATATGTCTTTATTTTTTCCCATCATGTCAACTTTTAAAAATATGACAAATGATACATTACAGAAGTCTGCACATTTCACATCATATTCGTGTAACACAAACCAACAAGTATTTTTCATCAGATATAATTTTAGATCATTCTTAAGGAGGTTTTTTTTGCACTGAATTCAGATCCGTGTTTATTT